TTTTAGAAGGAAGACATTGTGTAGCTTTGCTTGAGACCATTATTTCCATCCTCCACTGACTGCTGGTGATTACAGGTTTGCTTGAATATTGTAGTGTCATACTTCAGTTAGTGCATTAGCCCCTCCAGTGGGCACGAGGTGCTGAAATAACAGGTGGTAAATCAGATTTGTAAAGTGCTGTAAAACTAAAAAATATGAAGCAACTCATACACAACAAAGAATTGATTACTTACATGTGCGTGTACATCTGGGGAGGCCAGGATACCATTGGCCATCATAACCACAGGTGATGTCGCTCGGGCCAGTGCTTGTGTAACCCCGGTAACACTCGATTGAAAGGGTGTCCCTGAATTGATACAGCTCTTTTGGAGCTCCTGCCCAGATAGCGCCAGGCACTTTTGGAGATGGACATGTTATTTCTGTGAGGAAATAGAACTCAGTTTTTATTTCATTCATGTCAACAAAAAAGGGAAATAAAGTTGTACAAAACTGATAAACGTGTTGTGTCACTAATAGCATCTAAAGACCTTCGCATTTAGGAGGAGAATTGCTCCATGTCCCATCCTCGGTACACCAAATCTCCCTTGGTCCATTAAGGACTCCCACACTGCAACGATAGCGAATGGCACTCCTGTATGTGTAAGGTGGCTCTTGACGGCCTTCTATCTTTGCATTTGGCACTTCGGGAGGCTCTCCACACTCCACAGCTGGAAGAGATACAGTAGTGTTGGCACAGCGAAAGAAGGGAAATTGAAAAGGGCACATTACAAATGATGCCTTCACCGCACCTTCACAGACAGGAACACGTCCATCCCAGCCTCGACTCGTGCAGGTTCTGGTTGCCCGTCCCACAAGATGATGCCTGATGAAAGTGTATGTGAAGCCACATGTTCAGCAATGGAGAAAATCTTAAACAGTATCTAAAGAAAGCAGCACAGTATACATTTCCTCACCCCTCGTCACACACTGCTTTAGCAGTGTCTCCAAACTCGACTCCTGAGTACATGAACTGTCCATTTGCAATCTCTCCTGCAGAGCCACATGGCTTTCCTATTTGAAGATTGG